AGGATGTTTTAGGCTAAGAAGAAAACCTATCAAAGCTCTGAAGCTGCATTGGTATACCTGAGGTGGTTACGGGACAGGACAGGGTGCTGCTGTTGTCATCTTTTCCATAAACTTCCTGCTGTTACTTCTAAGTAGAAACTTCTTTTTCTTAAAATAAAAATAATTTTTCTTGGATATGGGGTGAAATTTATTTTGAAAGTTTAGCCTTGCTCAGATGTGGTAGACATTGCTGGCAATGGCCTCTGATGCTCCAGCTCCTAACTCCAAGGTGTTTAGGTGTTGAACATTGTGTGGAACGGGGGGAAGATACTTACAGTTATCTCTTTTATTCAAGATTACAAAACAGGGATCTGTTCATTAACACTGTATCATTCTCGATATATAAATAGCACTTTGTATTTAAAACTTTATTATAAATATATATATATATATATTGTTTTTTTAACCTAGAAACTAGATATTACCTCTCAGTTGTTTGCCACATCAATGCCATCTCCGCTTAGTGTGAAAGTCACCAGTTAGCAGCCCTTTCTCTGTCCCTGCCAGGAAGTGCGTGGAGGTGACTGACTGTACAGTCAGGCACAGTTGCTCCTCTTCTCCTGTTGGAGGCCAGTGAGTTTTAGGTGTGATCGTAGCCATTGTGTGAGAGGAGATCGTTTCTATTACTCCTGATGTTAGTGGTTAAGGCAGCAAGGCCATTTGGTTCTGCCAAAGCAGATCATGGTTTTAGCAGAGTGTTCTCTGCCTGTTTGGAAAGTGTGGTTTGCTGTTTCCCACTAAAGATTACATTCAGCTGAGCACTGGGACATTTGGGGAGAAGAGTCTGAAAGGTAAGATAAAAACACTGGGGAAATCTGGTCCTTGAGTTGGACTGCAAACGATACAGCACCCTTTCCGTGAGACTGGAAAGAGCTTTGCTAGGCCTAGATTGGTGGCCAGCCTTCAAGTGACGGCTTTGGGAGAGTCAGCTGTGCTGGGACTTATTTAATGCTTGGTGAAGAGAGGAGTGTCATTTATTCAGATCCTTACTGTACACCAGCTACTGCATGTTGGAGTGAAGGGGACTCCTTATAGCTGCTGGGGGTTTGGGTGAAGTCGGAGTTGCTCATTGGGTCAGCCAGACCTGATGAGGTGGTTGGATGTCTGAAATGCTGGCCATGTTCAGAGAAGCAGTAGGCAGGGATTGCCTTAGTTTAGATTTTAAAAGTGAATTTTCCTAACTCTGCTTTTTTAGGATTAGGAGACCATATTGCATTACTCCCTGTCCCTCCTCCACCCCGGGTTGGAGTGATAGTCTCTCCCTTTAGCCTCAATATAGCTTTAGAAAATCTTTATCCTTTCAAATGAGTTTGGATAGTTGTGGGCAACATTTTCCAAACAGTCTTTCAGGGATCGTTTCAGTGGCCGACAACCAAGGTATCTGTCCTCTACTTTGAGTCTTAACTGTGGTTTTTCTCCAATCCCAGTGGGAAAGGGCTTTAAGGTACCACCAGTGGTATTTAATATTTGTACTTATACCATGCCTTTAATCTTAGATGTACATGCTACAGTAATCCACTGGTCAGATAGGTATTAGACCTAGATAAGGAAGGACTGCCGTAACTTTTTCTCAAGTGTTAATTCTGATTTCTAAGATCTCACCTTCCTTCAGTCACTTTTGGCCACCACTTTAAAAGTGTCCAGAAGGGTCCCCTCCATTCTGGTGGATGTTTGCTGAACTAAACTGATGCTAGGCTGGCCTCTTGCTGTCTGGGGAAGCTACTTGGCCTCAGCGGCTCCTTCTTAGGGAGCCTGCACACCCAGAGCTGCTGCAGGAGGGAGGTTGGGCCCAGCAGAAGCCACAGAGCTGCACACACTCCCTGGGGAAGGAGGGGATGTGCTGCAGCCTGGGGGTGGGGGTGGGGGGATGGGAGTTCTCATGCAAACCAAGTGTTTGCCTTCGAAAGGTCTCTGACAATTTAGAAATGCTGGAAACCAAGCAACATAATACCCTAATCCCTGTCTGTGCCACTGATTCTATGATTTAGGTTGCTTTTAAGGGTGACTAACTTTGTTCAGTGAAACCAGGGTTTATTGGTTGGTGTTTTTTTTTTTCTTTTCTTTTCCTGATATTTAAAGGTACAATTTCTTATTTCAAATTTCTACTGATAGTACCCCAAGGGAAGATGCTGGAACACATTTTGCAAATGTGACTTTTTTTTTAAATTTTGCTTGAAGCCTGTGTCATGTCAGTTGCTGCTGCCTTCTTTCCTTTTATGAGGTTCCCAATGTTTCTTCCAGAAAATGACTTTATTTATGCAAGTCAGGTGACTCTTAGGCCACAAAACCATTTGATGATAAACAGATTATCATTAGGTGCATATCTTATTGATATTTTGTGAAATGTTATGCCTGTGTTGCAAAAGTTGAATAGTTTTGTCTATATATTGCTGTCTTCAGTGTACAGCATGGTTTTACTTATTGAATGTTATTGTTACTATTTCTTCTTATAGAAGAGACCATGCCCTTTTGTATGACATGTTTTAATAAATGTTATCTGTCAACTTTGTAAAAGGTTTCTTTTTCACTCTGAATAGGTGACCACAAGTCTTTTCATGATTCCGCTACCTGAGAATACAGTTTACACTGTGGCCTTCTGAAACATACATGCCAAGAAATCTGTTCGCAGTGAGGGACTGTGCCGGTCATTTAGGGATGGATGTCTGCAGGGTGTCTTCTGTGGGCTCCCCAAGGTCCCCTGCTCACCTTACATTTCTCTCCAGAAGATGGTCCTCTGGGACCTGTCCTGCCTTCCAGTCAGGATCCACCGGGCCCTCTGGGAGGAGTTTGGCAGATGAGAGAGAAGTCAGAGAAGCCACTCCCCTCTCCCTCCTGCCAGGAGTGCGAGGGCAGTGGCTGGGCTTCTCTGCCAGGGGCCAACGCTCTTGGCAGACCACTTCTGGGGTTTGGTAACCACACCCCCTTGTCCCTGCAAGCCAAGGGTTGGTCCTGACTCCTGCTTTTCACTGTCCTCATTGGAGGCCTTTACCCCAGCCTACCTTTTGTAAATAGTCCCTTTATGAAACAACTCAGTCATCTCTTCTGAGTGCCATCTGTTTCCTGTTGAGACTTTGGCTGACATCTCGGTGTCCTGATTCCACAAACGAGCCAGCTGTGGCCCAGAGGGCAGGTGTGTTACCGAAGGTCATCCAGTAACAGTGGAGCTTGGTTCGGATGCTGGGGCGTGGAGGTCACCTGCGGTGGTGGGTTTTTCCACTGCTCGAGGCTTCATGCTCTCTAGCTGGGTCTTCGCTTCAGCTCACATTGCTCCCCTCACACCCCAAAACCCAACCCCCAAGAAGTAGCAACAGTTCAAGCTCTGAGGGCCCCGCGTATTTCCTAACAGCAGCTCATTACCAGAGACACTGCTTGTTTTAGACCAAACTTAACCACCTTCCCACACAAACCTTCTGTCTCCACTGTTTGTTGTGAGGTTCCCCCTCCCCGGTGGTGCTTTTGAAGCCAACTGTGAATCTCTGCAGCTAGCTTAGCTGTTCCCATTGGGGAAGAGGTTGCCCAGGAAAATCGCATCTAGCCATTATTTGAGGCAGGGTCTAACCCATCCAAGGACAAATATCTCAGGACCTGCAACATGGAGACCATTCTGTCCTCCACGTTCGCCCCTCTGCGGACCTGGCCAAGGCCTGGTGAGCAGCAGTGCAGCCGTGCCCACCTTGAAGCAGGCCCCTCCAGCACACATTTCCCCAGGGCGAGGAGGGTGGGGACAGTGCTAAGGTGCCCTGCAGAGAAGAGAGAAAGTGACTCCTTTGAATTTGGGAACTGAGGGGGTGGGATGTGAGTGCTGTTACCCATCTGGAGCATGTGACACCTGTGTGTCTTATTTAGCTTCCTCGCAGTTCCCCACCGCAGTTCCCCACCCGCTTCTCCCACCAAGCCACTGAAGCATTCCCTGAGGCAGTCCCTATTCCTGGGCATCTTGGAGGGTGTTCTAGAATTTGCGGGGAGTCAATGGAGCAGTTAGCAGGTCAGCAACTGGAAATGAGGTAAGCTTCAACATGTTGGCAAAGTCAATTATTCTTGGGCGAATTAGATTTTTTTTCTCTGTAGATGAGTAAAAGATTAGGACTTTGCCCTTCCTGGCTCTTAATGTTCTTTTTAAGACAGTGCTTAGAAATATTTAAAGTCCGTCAAAGAAAGATGGACACAAGCAATACTTTGTTCCTTGAGGAACCTGAGAGGGGGAGGAGGTGGGGAGCAAAGTCTTCATGATCTTTTTCGGAACTGGTTTGATTAGTTCAGTTGATGCAAATTGGTTTGAATCGATACCAGACAGTTTGATTTCTAAATCTTGGACCACTTTTTATAGCTTTCAAACAGATAAGCTAGTTAAGCCTCCAAGTAGCTTGATGCAGTTTCAGGAGAGTCACTGTCATCATGTGAAGTAATACGTGGGCTCTATAGAAACAATCCATAACCAGCATTGTAGGTAAATACGTGTTATAAAGAGTAGTGGCTTCTTATGTTAGCCTCTAGTGATTATATGAGTTTTGTTTTTTCTTCCTTATGTTCTGAAATAACTCAACAGTAAAGCCATTAAGTGTATTTATAACTTAATAAGACCACTTTCTCCCGAGGGTATACTGGCCTGCCTCATATAACAGCTAACCTGTATTAGTGGAAGCTGAAGGCTGCCTCTAGAACTGGCCCTGTCTTGATAATTTAGGGTCAGCAATGCCATGATTAAAATGTCCTGTGTTAGGGTTCTCTGAAAAGATCCCCAACTGCACACACTCCGCTTGTGAAGGATGGATGCCAAATCTGTAAACGTTGCTAGAATTCCTGGAGGAGATCTGGTTAACTAGAAATCATAGGCTTTAAATGAGAGCAAAGTGACCTGGAGCCAAACTAGAAAGGATTAATTTTAACTTCATTTTTATAGTGTCATAATGTG